TTTTTTTTTTTTTTTTTTTTTTGGTTTTAGTTGTTAATTATATTGTTGTTTATAGAAGCTAATATTTAAAAATTATTGTTAATCTTGCCAAAATTGTGTTAAAAGAATCAACATAAAAATAAAGACAGTTTTTTTTAGGTTGTGGGGATCGAATTCAGGACCTTGCAGGAGCAGTGCCACTGAGCTAAATCTCTGATCCAAAAAACATTTCTTCTGTGATAAAAATAAAATCTATACTACCTATGATAAAAATCTGGGTAGACAAATATGTGTTATTAATTTGGATAATTTTTCTGAACCTGTTTTTCCTCAATAAAAAATGTTTTATAAGGTGATTTATACTGTCCAAACTTATGATCTCATTAGAAAATCATTTTAATAATAATCTTGAGATCTTTTTGATAGGAGGATATAAGTACATTACTTAAATACAAAACTATACATAGTAAATATATGTTGATTGCAAATAAATTTGAATTCTGGTAAACTACTAAAAGTGAAATTAATCTAATTACATAAATAGAAAGACACAGTCAACTTATACTAAGGGAAGTAATTACTTAGCCACACTCTAACTGCTTATCATCTATCTATCTATCATCTATCTCAACATCATTTTTGTTAGAGGTAAGGTCAAAGAAAGCAAAAATGTATTTTTGATTAATCTTTCCATATATTCAATCTCAAAACAATGTAAGACATGCTGAATATAACTAAATACTATTGATGAAAATAACAGTATTAAATATGTTGTGGTAAAATAAAATTTTCTATATTTAAGAATCAGAATTCAGCACTTAAAAATTTGATAAATCACTGTCAGGTTTTCAATAAGCATGTTATGACATTTAATATAACATAAGCTACTTCCTAGTTCATTTGATTTAAAAAAAAACAATAGGTATAAGTACTATATATTAGATTTGTTATCCACCTGAAGGAGAAGCCACTTATACTAATAATATACAGTAAGATATAGTTAGTACATATAGTTCTAAAAATGCTCCTCGATGGAGTTTAAATCTCATATATCATTTCTAGGAACTACTCTGAGAAAATAATCAGATATATACTCAAATATGCATGCACAAATATGTATACTAAAGTGCTGCTTATAATAGCTAAAATTACAAAAAACTGAGCCATCTAAAATCATAGTGTAATTACTTATATGATCTATTTAGTATGCTACTAACAGAGATGCTGTAATGATCTGGAAAAAAAAGCAGATAAGAATATTTCTTTTATCTTTAGGGCTGGGGATGTAACTCAGTAGTAGAATACTTGCCAGCATGCATGAGACCCCCACAGGTCACTGCCCTGTATGACCAAAATCAATAACCTTTCCTCTAAAAACCCTCACCTTCTATCTTCATATATTTGTGTATTATGCATATTCTACAGAGGGGAAACACTGTATGCCCAATTTGTATCTCTCAAAGACAATTATAGCTACATAATAGAAAATAGGAGGTTAATGTAACAATCCAAACAACAAATGGAATATGAATACAAACCACATGCAGTAATGAAACAGCACTAAGAATGGAAAGATGGGGTATTTTCCAGAGATATTTAAGGAACAGAATCAAAAGGTTGTAGATGTCAACTGGAATGACAGATGACAAGACTGGGCTAAACTATAATCTCATACATTAATATCAGAAATAAAGAAGGAAAACTAGGAAAAAAATAATAGGGTCATATGGCCCTGTAGTACAATTTTCAGATTAAACTACTTTCTATATTTAAAATGGCAAAATATTATAAATGATATGTTAGAAAATATTTTTACCTGGAAAGTTTCAATTATCATGAATATTAACTAATATGGAATATATTTCCCAATTAAGCCATTTAAGTGAATAACTGCTATTAGAAAATCTTCAGAATTACTATAGTAGAGGTAGTATAAAATATTTATTTTTTAATCAGGATATCCTAGTCAAAAAATGGCTAACATGAACTATTTCAAGAAGGAGCTTTGTAAATTACCATATCATTTTTATTCTCCATAAAAATGCTGAGTTTCTTTAAGAATGTTACAACTAGAATAAGCAGCTCAAAATTGTCCCGATCAAGAGCTTTCACCAACATGTGAACTATATTCTTATTCCTCATCTTCAGTTCTGTACGAGTATCCTCAGCTAGATTCAGAAGCAAATAAAGAGCAACTGGAAAAGTAAAAAAGATAAGAGTTAAATGACTGGCATATTGAGTGAACAATTAAAAAATTACTTCTCATTTATCAGGTTAACTGAAGTAGTTCTAAAAAGATAATGTATTTTATTTTGAAAACTTAATTGGTTAGTAATTAGTTCATTAGAAAACAATATTGAATGTTTATACAAAACATATATAATACATATATATAATAATATTCTTTTGATGACAACACAGTAACCAAAATAAGACAATGATTCAACTCTTGCACCTTAATGCTTCACAGTAATCAATTGGCAATCAAAGGACTGAAGTCAGCAAATGGTAAGAGAAGCAAGGAAAATTATTTATATGCATATATAAATATCATAAAATTTCAACAACTAAAGATTGCTGTGTTAAAAGAGCTATAATACAAAATACACAGCACAGCTCAAGCTATGTTTGAGAATGAAAAGTCTTCTTTTTCATAATCAAACTGATTTTCTGTTAGTCACTGTAAGAAAAGTCCATTTGAAATTCAGTAATACAAATGTTATTCTAGATAAAGGTCAATGTCTATTACTACCATATAGAATTTGTTTTGAATCTCTGTATTGCTATTTTTTCCTTCTAAGAATTAAAATTAACTAACAATATTTTCCTTTCACCTTGACTAACAGTGAGCTTCAGAGTACATTTAAAAGGTTCCTTAAAAAAGGTTTTTATTAATCTCTGTAGAACTATGTAGGTTCTTTGGTGCAGTCTTATTTATCTTTCATGGCCTTCTACCATATACACTGCAAAACATTATTTATGGAGTGGAGTTCTCAGAAGGTCTTCTATCAGTAGTGGAGAAAAGTTAAATCTAGATTAAATTCTTATGTCCAGACTAACAAATTATTTGTTCAACTGTGTTCCAAAACAAAGCTCACAAAATTTATATGAGTGAAAAAATAAACACTCAAGAATATAAATTTCACAATGACAGTCAATCAAAGATTGTTGTTATGGTTTATATCTGGGTGGCTCCTTAAAGCCTCATGTGCTCAAAGGCAGGGCATGTTGGATCATGGGGACACAATACTTGTGAGTGGATTAGTCCACTGATAAGTTCAGAGCTAAATGTGATTTGGGAGGGGAAGCTTGGTTGGAGGAGGTGGGTCACTAGGGCATGGCCTGAAAGGGTTTATGTTCCTCCACTGCCCCTGGATCTCTCCATTTCGTGCTGCCACGAAATGAGCTGTTTCTCCTCTGCCATGTCTTTCTGTCATGCTGTCCTACCTTAGAACCAACAGACTATTGAGTAAAACCTCTACAAATTATGAGCCAAAATAAATTTTCCTACTTTAACATGTGGGTGTTGGGTATGTTGTCCCAACAATGAGGACATAAATAAGACAATTATCAATAATATAAAGAAGCAGGAAAATACAACCTATAGCTAGGAAAACATATCAGCTCCTGAAACTGTCCTGAAACAGATACAAAGGTTAGAATAATAAGATGGGAAGATTCAAGTTTGTATAACTATTCCAGATCTTCTACAAATTAGGTTAAGAAACAGGAGACAAAAATATTCGTATTTCCTAACAACAGAAACTAAAATGCCTGAGATTATATACTAGGTTCCATTGCTAGCAGTTTAAAAATGGAAGAAAAGATTTTGAAATTGAAGAAATAATCAATCTTTCCAAAAATAATCACAGGAGAAAAAATAATAACAAAAGTGTAAGAGTATCAGAGAGCTGTGGAACATCAAGTGGCTCAATATATATGTACAATTATAGTTAAATGAATTATAAATGAAAAGTAAAACAAAATTTTCCAAATTTAATGAAAACTATAAACCAAGAATTTTAATAGGCTCACTGAACTGCAAGAGTGAGAAATAGGAAGAAATAAAAAAAAAAGGTATCATAAGGGAAAAATTCAAAACAAAAGATAAAAAGACAACCTTAAAAGTAACCAGGTAATAAGGGAAAGAAAAAAAAATAGGAGAAAATGAAAAAAATGCAAATAAAATGTTTGTAAATGGGGAGGGGAGGAGGAGGTGAAGGGAGGGCAGGGATAAGCGGAAAAAATGAGAACCAAGACATGTCATGTAAAGGTACAAGATCCCAATAATGAATGTAACTGTACTGTATATCTAAAATGTACCAATACACTCAATGAGGGGGAAAAAAAAGTAACCAGAGAAAAATATATATAGTGGACCTTTGTGTTATGACCAACCCCACATACAAACAGCTTGAGTTATGACTGGAATTTTAGTTTTAACTTATGGCCAATGTCTTGAGTTACGACCTGAATGCTGGTGGCTTGTGTGTTTGTAAAAAAAGACTCATGATGCCAGAAAAGCATATGTAAGTGTACATAAGCATCAGTCTGAGCCCAGATGTGCGTATTTGTCAATGTGTTTTCAGTCAGTACTTTATATTATCACTATGATTACTGTTATCAAAATAGCCCCCCAAAGCTAGAAAAGAAGCTAAGGAAGGAAGGGAAGATCATGAAAGCAATCATAATAAAAACGAAGGAACTGTGGAGAAACACAACAGTAGCATTTATATGACCAATCTTGGTAATATGTCTAGCAGGTTGAAACCCATCATCTCGACAGAGAAAACATTTGTATAAGGAAGCTAGTGTTGATAAAGGTATCACTCAAATTAGTTAAGTCAGAATGAACAGTGTTAGATGAGGTAGAGAGGCTATTACTAGTGTGGATAAATGAAAGGCAGATGCAGGTTATAGCCTATCTGAGTCTATAATTTATGAGAAAGCTAGGGCTATACATGCAGATCTTATAAAGGATAACCATCAATGAGTGATAATGGTGAAACATTTTGTGCCAGTAAGGGGTGATTTCACAGTTTTAAAGCAAGAACTGGGGTTCATATCATAACTAGCCATGGTGAAACAGCCAGTGCTGATAAAAGGGCTGCTGAAAATTACATACACTATGTGGAAACAATGACAGAGAAATGGCTTTTGCACAGTTTTCAACTGTGATGAAACTGACCTTTTCTGGATGAAAATGCCCATGAGTACATATATTACCCAGGAAGAGAAGAAAATGTCAGGCTACAAGCCTGTGAAGGATAGGCTAACTTTACTGCTATGTGCCAATGCGAGTGGTGACTTCAAGATAAAGCCTCTTTTGGTTTATCACTCTGAGACCCTGAGTGCTCAGAAAACAAAGTCAAGAAGAATAGGTTGGGGGTTATGTGGAGATCGAATGCAAAAGCCTGGGTAACAAGAGTACTATTTCTTGAGTGGTTCAGGGAGGCTTTCTGTCCTACTGTTAAGAAATATCTATAGCACAAAGGTTTACTACTCAAGGCTCTCCTCATCATGGACAATACTCCTGCTCACCCACAAGATTTGGAAGAACTGGCTGAAGAATTCTTATAGCTCTCAGTCAAGTTCCTCTTGACTAATACACATCCTCTACTGGACCAGCAGTTTACAGCTAACTTTAAGAAGCTATACACAGAGGAACTGTTCCTGAAGTGCTTCTAGATGAACTCAGATACAGATGTAACCCTTAAAGAGTTCTGGAAGGAACATTAGAACATCCTGTCCTAGGTGGGGATAACTGAGAAATTCTGGGCTAATGTCTCTCTAAGGACACTGAGATCTGCCGGAAACTGTGGCCTAAAATTATACAGCAGAGAGACTTTGAAGGTTGTGTAGAGGAGCCTGAGTCCTCAATTGACCTTGTGTTTGATGAAACTGTCTCTAAAAGTTCACAGGCTTGTAGGTATACAGTGGTGATGTTAGGAACTGCTGGAAGAATGATCAGAGGAATTGTTCACAGAGGAACTTCAGCAATTTCAGGTTGAGCAACAGTGAATAGCAGCTGAGGAGCTTTCTGAAGAGGACGAGTATCAACAATCAGTGCAGCAAAGTTCTTCTGAAATAAAGGAACTCCTGAAAAAAAGGTTAGAGCTACAAACATTTGTAGAGAAGACCCACCCCAACAAAGAAAAAGTCAATTATTGGATTCACTTGCTTAATGACAATGTCATGTCATACTACAGAACAGTGTTAAAGAAAAGACAGAAGCAGACAACCTTAGACCAGCTTTTAGTTCTGAAAAGGTTGAGACCCAGTGAGCCAGAAGCAGATCCTAGCAGGATACAGACTCCCCAAGAAGGGAAAGGACACCAGAGAGCAAGAGTCCTGATGTTCTTATGGAGAGGTTCCCCTTCCAAACAATTACCACCTTGCATTTAATCTTCCCTTCCTGCAAGCTAAAGATATCAACTTGAATGGTGAGTACAGTAAGAAATTGTTGTTTCTTGTAAACTAGGCACATTTTATAACTTTTTGGCAAATATAGTAGGAAAGTTATTGGTGCTTCTGGTAAATTATGCAAATTACATAACCCCTTTATTATGAAAAGGTTATTTAAGGGGAGCTTTGGGAAGTTTGGAACACATTATGGATATTTCCCTTATTTATGGGAAAAAGTCTCAACTTACATCCAACGTGAGTTAGAACCAGCCTTTGTGAACAAATTGAGTTTGTTTGTAAGTCAAGGGTCCTCTGTATACAAAGAAAGAGATGACAGCAGGCTGTTCAACAAAAATAGTGTGCGCAAGGCAATAGCAAAAGTAACATTTTTAGAGCTCAGAAAGAAGTTTTTAATCTAGAATTAAAACCTGGTGAAAATATTTCAAAAAAGAATAAAAGCTATTTCAAATGTATAAAAGACAAAATAATTTTTAAAATTTAAAAAATTTTTAAAAAATTTTTAAAGAAAATGATTAACAAAGATGTGGTTTTTCTATAAAATGGAATACTACTCAGCCATAAAGAATGAAAAATTATATTCATTCATAGGAAAATGGATACATACTGAGGATATACTCCTAAGTGAAATAAATAAGTCACACATGGGTAAATACCGAATAGTTTCTGTGGTGTGAAAAACTATAATAGTATATAAGATCCTAATGAGATAATTAATAATGTGAAATAGGAAGAAAAGGGCTAAAGGTGTAGGGAAAGTGGGAAGGGTAGG